TTTCCTCATTTCCTCTTGTGTATATTTTATAGCTATTTTCCTTGTGGTTATCATGGGACTACATTTAATATCCTAAAGTTATAACACTCTAATTTGAATTTATACCTTCAATAACATACAAAAACTGGGCTCCTTTTCAACTCTGTCATCACCTCTTTTGGTTGTCACAAAATATCATTTTTATACAATGTGTTTCCCAAAACATAAACTAACAATTGTTTTAAATGCATTAGTTTCCTAAATAATGTGGAAAAAAATGTGGTGTTATAAACCAAAGTTACAGAAATACAAGTTTCTGTACTAATAGTGTTTTCTTTAAATATATTAGACTCTTAAATTGTATAGAAAACAAATCAAAAGTACAGTCACAAGCCATTATTACAATAATGCTATCTTTTATAATTGTCCATGTATTTATTTTTTTGAGATCTGTATTTTTCCATATAACTTTGAGTTACTGTCTACTGTCCTTTCATTTTATCTTTCAGGACTCCCTTGAACATTTCTTGTAGGGTAAGTTTAGTGGTCACAAACTCTTCAATTTTTGTTTATCTGGGAATGTCTTAATTTCTCCCTAATTTTTGAAGGACAGTTTGTCAGCTATAAGATGTTTGATTGACTCTTTTTTTCTTTTAGCACTTTGAGTATATCAGTCAACTGTCTTCTGGCTTCCAAAGTTTCTGATGAGAAATCTGCTGATAATCTTTAGGATGGCTTATATGTGATGATTTGTCTCTCTCTTGCTGCTTTCAAGATTATCTCTTTGTGTATGCCCCTTCCCCAGGCACAGTCTGCCATCCAAGGATTTGTCCATGCAGGAGTATAAAGACCGTTGGCCTCCAAACTGGGACAACTCTGAAGTATAATCTCAGCTCTAGAGTGACCTGGAGGATCCACTGAGATCTCCATTCCAACTTCTGTTGCAACAGCTCAACTTCTCCCTCCACCCAATCCTGTTTCTCTCCTCCTTACAAGTGTCATTACCAAGGACAGGTCCCAACACATCTTCTAAAAGCAAATCTCTACCTCAGAGCCTGCTTTCTGGGGAACCGGACCCAAGACACTATGTGACCTTGAGCAAATATTTTACCTCTCTATATCTTGGTTTCTTGATATGCAAAATGGAAGAAATACCTGTGTCTATCCCACAGGGTTGTGAGGATTAAATGAATTTAAGTCCTTGTCATGATGCCTGCCACACAGCAACACATATAAATATTTGCTGTTATTATTACTATGTATTAAAAGAATATTCCAAGCTTTCCCAACCCCATCATAAAACTAGCTACCTCAGAGAATCAGGTAAATCCCTCCTGGGCTCACATGGCCCTTGAATGTTAGGGTAAAGAGGATTTAAAATTAAGTGAGGTGGGCAGCCATGGCAGATTGAGAACAAGTGAGTGACGTGAGTTGATATGTGGTTCTAAAAGCTCATTCTGGCTGCAGGAAGAATCAGTTGTAGGGCAGCAGGAGGAGAAGTGGGGAAGACTGGAGTGGTAATGGTCAGGAAGAAGGAGCACTATTATATGCTTTGGTGGGAGAGTCACTGGTGGACTAGATGTAAAGGGTGAAGAAAAGAGGAACTGTGTCCCAGGATTTGGCTTGAGAAAATTGGTGGTCAGTAATACTAATTATTCATTAGATAAGCAAAAGCAAGTAAAGAGCAGTTTTGGGGAAAGAGAGGGAGAATCCAGGGTTCAGTTTGTAACGTGTTAAGTTTGAAATGCTTATCAGACATCCAAGTGAGATGTCAAATTGATGCCAGGGTTCTTATCCGTGGAATCAAAGAATGAATTTCATGAACAGACAAGGCAGGAGATTTACTGAGAGGTTTTATTCAGATACAGAGAGAGAGAGAGCTTTATTCAGGATAAGAGAAAGAATGAAACTCCCGCAGGTGCAGGGAGGGGCAAGGCTGCCGTTTGGGGTCTCAGTGTCTAGGGTTTTATGCTTGCTGCAGCAGGAGTTTTCTATAGATTCAGTCAGAATGCTAATTATATTTTAACCTGTCTGTGAAGGTTTTCCAGATACTCTGTTGTAAGCTAATGAGCCTACACGTGACTATGAGCAATGAGCTGTTCTATACCACTGGGTCCTGATGGGGAATAAATTGTTACATTGTTTCAATTTCAAGCACCCTGTTTTGTAAGACTGTCCTTTTCCAGGACCCACACTGTACTCTAACTGGGCAGGAGTTATGCCCTGCTGCCTCCCTGTCTCAAAATCTGCTATTGGACGTATGTTTGGGTCCTCTTTTGACTAAGCCACACTGTATGTAAAAAGGCTAGGAGGTTATAAATTAATATGCCCTGGGACAGGGTTAATTCCTTAGGAAGTCAGGATTAACATTAACTAAAGCATTATTAATCCTTTCCTCCTTTCATAGCCATTAAGGGAGAGAACTCCATGTGGCACTGCAACTGGAGGTTAAGATATGGTCCATAAATGTTCCAAGGTTCCTGCCTTTAATACTGAGCATTTCAGTTACTAACAATATCTTGGCCAAGACTAAGATGGAAATTGCCAAAAAGAGGCTCACTTTGCCTCCCAGCATGCACTTAGGTGTGGAGAGATTTGAAGCATTTTTCTCAGTACTTGACTCCCCGAAGAAAGGCACACAGTAGGTACCAGTTTCCTTCTACAGAACCCAGCTGGAACAGCCACCTGTTCTTGGTGTAGAAGAACATTCTCCTGCAATACTATAATGGCTCAAATGTGAAATTCCATCTCCAGTCTCTTGAACTATGATTACTTGTGGCAAAGGAAGGGCCTTCTCACCTAGGCTTCATCTCTTGGTAATAATAATTATCTTTTTTAAAAAAAGTGCTTTATAGTTTTTAAAAAGATTGCATATAAACTAGCTCATTTGAACCATAGTGTCATAAAACAGGTGGAATTATCCTCACTTTACAGATGAGGAAAGAAGGAAGAAAAGAGAAATGCATGAAAGCCTTTGTGCAACTTCTACCCTCTACTGGGTGTGCTTTTCTGAAAGTTTCATAACAAGTGGCAGGGGCAGGGGGATTGAATTCTCCAGCTATGCTTCAGCTTCCTCACATTTGGTATTCTTTTTCCTATCAGATGCCAAGGGAATAAATCTCAAGCGGTTTTTGCAGGGTGAAGTGAGGACTCTCTGGGAGTCAAAAGTGGTGCCAACTTAAGTAGCTCTCCTATTTAGAATTCTTGAGCTAGTCACAGCTTGCAGACATGGCATTTCACTTAAAGATTTCCATACAGGCTCAGACACTCATAAAAAGACTTGTTACTTCTTGATGTTAAGTTTGAACAACTAAGAACAACTGGAAACAACAACCCACATGTCTACTAGCAGGTGACTGGATAAACAATGGAATACTATTTATGAACTATTGATATGCAACAAGATGGATGAATTTCAAAGTAATTATGTTGTGAATGAATTCAGACAAAAAGGAATACATATTCTATGATTGTGCTTATGTAAAAATGATTGATGGAAGTGCAGCATATGGGGACTTTGGATTTATTAGTTATTTTACAACAAAGGCTTTTAAAGCTCCTACTGGAAGGAACCCTGGTGCAAGTTATGCAAAATCTACATCACAGAGACTTTCTGAGAATTGAGTTGGGAGTGTGGAGCAGCCAAGATGTAGCCCTGGAGAGACAAAGATGGATAATAAGCCTTTAAGAATTTCATGGCATGCATAGCGAGGGGTAATCATTACACATCACCTCTAAGATGTCTAAGGGCATCTCAAACTTAACATTTCCAAAACAGAACTCTTGATCTTCCTCCTAAACCTGTTATTCTCTCTCCAGATTTCTCTATTCCCTATAACACAACTACCCACCCAGTTGCTCAAGTCAAAAATCTAGGACTCATCCCTTATTCCTCTCTATCCTGCTGATAGCTCCCAGCCTCTAAGTGAATCCTGTCAAACATACGTACACAACACAGAAATATAATGTCAACCCAATGCTCCATCCTGGTGCAAGCTAAAATCATTTCCATCTATTTTAACTCTTCAGTCCCCTCTCCAAAAGCAGCCAGGCTGGTCTTTTAAATAGCGGACCCTGGCACCTTCCTGGATACCACCCTTGGATGGCTTTCCATTTCACTTGGAATAAAATTTAAACTCCTTTCCACACCCTGATTCAAAGCCCTGCATTTATTGGTCCCTACATTATATGGCCCTCATTTCCTGCTCTTCTTCATCTGGCACACTCAGTTCCTACCATACTGCACTCAGGGCCACTGCAGTTAACTGATCCCTTTGTCCATGTGTCCTCCGTGGGTCTTTGCATGGGTTTCACTTCTTCAGAACTCATTCAAAATCTCTCAGACCTGCCTTCCTTGGGCATCTTATCTAATATAGCCATGCCCACCATTACTACTGCCACCTTCTAATCCCTTACACATCTTTTTGTTTCTTCTCAGCACTTATTTCTCTAATATTATGTCTGCATGCTTATTGTTTGTCTCTCCCACTAGGCACTGTCAATGTACCATTAGTGAAGGAACTTGAATTTGTTTCCCATTCTATCACACCTCCTGGAGCATAAAAGACATTCATTAAATGTTTGTTGAATGAATGATAAATATATGTTTGCAACAGACAACTGTAATTGCTTTGTTGATTTATTCATTGTGTAGCATCTCTCTCCCATGCAAATGTAAACTCCGCGAAGACTGGGACTGTGTCCATTTTGTTCTTTATTACATCCCTTAAGCTTCGAACAGGGCTACCATAGTGACAAGTGCAAAGCGATGTTAAAGGAAGTGGAGGCAACTAAACTGTCTGAAGGACTAAATGAGGCCTCACGCATAACACCAAAACTGGGACTGACAAGGAGTGGAAACTCAAAGAACTGAAGAGGTGTAGTTCAAACATAGGCAATCTCGCGAGGTGTGGGGAAGCCAAGATGGCTTCCAGCACAGCTGCCACACTTAATATGGCGACCAGGGAGGGTTCCTGGAGGAGATCACGCGAGAATTACATCCTACTACTATCCGCGAATTGAGCCGGGGGCGTGGAGCAGCCAAGATGGAACCGGTAGCTGGTGGGTCCGGTCCCCTGATTCTGAACAACAAGCAACCCCAGCCGCCCCCACCTCCGCCGCCCGCAACCGCGCAGCCTCTCCCTGGGGCACCGCGGGCCGGCGGGGGCCTCCTGCCCGGGGGCAAAGCCCGAGAGTTCAACCGCAACCAGCGCAAAGACTCGGAGGTCAGGAGCTTCGAGGGGGCGAGGCCAGCACCGGCGGGCGGCAGCTGGGGGCCAGGCCGGGGCCGCTGTCGGGTCTAAGCTGGGCTTCCCGGAAGGTTCGGCAGGGCCCGACAGAGGAGTTGTCATTTAACGGCGAAAGGAGCAGTGCGGTGAAGCGGGTCGCCGCCCCGAGCTCCGCCGCCCTGTAGAACCTCCCGGAGCCGGTGACTGCTTGTTTGCTGCTCGGGCACTGGGGCCATGGGCGCGGCCTCGGGGCCTCAGCCCCCGGGGAAGCCGCCCTCCGCCCCAGTTCCGTGGGTGAAGAGTCGGTGGTCTCCGTGCGCTCCGGGACCCCTAATTCCCTCTGGCCTCTGGTCCTGTGGGTTCCACAGCGCGCGGCGGACGGCATATAGGCAGAGAAGGGATTTCGAAGCTAATTATCACTCACAGATGCTGTGCGCCCAGAGGCCCCCGGAATATGGGGTGAGGACGGGGAGAACCTTCCTTGTTCACTCTGACCTTAGCCTGTGCAGGTTCAGGCCATAGTTTGACAGTGCCTGGTGGTTGGTGTGCCCAGTATGTCCGATGCTAAACTGTTAAAGATCAGACACAGACATTTTAAACAAGCGTTAGGGCTCCGCCTTCCCTCCACAGCTAGTGGGGTGTTTTTCCAGTTCCGGAGACACCGTAGTCTGGAGCTGACTAGTTACCTCACCCCGAGTTAAAGAATTCCTCCCACTGCCTCCCATTGTAGAATTCATGAATGAAGACACAGGCTTCGCTGAGCTGCTCTTAGGGCTTCTTCATGAGCACCTTTCCAGAGCTCTTACTCTGAGTCCTCCTTAACCTGAGACAGCTCAGAGGCCGATGCGCAGGCAGGCGCTTATTCATAAGAGGCAATTCCTCCGGGCTAGGCTTTCTGTACCAAGTCGTACCCAAAAGTGATAGACTCTCTTTAGATATGTGAAATCAGTGCCTCTCAAGCTGTTTTTGTGTTGGCAGATGCAGACCTCTGGTAGAACGTGTCAAAATTTGGCAAGTCCAAAGTACACATACTTTGAGCTTGAAGTGAGTTATTTGAAAAAGTAACGAAACTGGCCTTTTAGGAGCCCTTACATTGTGGTGTGATGGGACATAAATGGTGACTACTTGATAATTTTTCAATTTATTAAAGTGGTTGGGGTGAACCCACCTTTGTCATGAGAGGAGTTATAGTTTAAAAGTAGTTTTAAATCTTCGTAAATAGCCACGAATGGTTAAGTAAATGCCCCTTGATGCATTTAAATTTCTCTTTCTATCCTTTAGTTTCTGTATTAACTCAACACCTGGAAGGTCAGTCATTGAACACATTTAAGCTGAGAGACCTGTCAATTCATTTTCTTAGAGATGCTGATGCTGCGCTCAGCTCCTTGTCATACATGGCTCAAGTCAGTAGGCTGGGGGCCTGAGCAGTGAGTGCCCGGAGGACAGGGAGACTGAGAGTTGATGAGAGCCCACTGGGAGCTACATAATTTTGACTAGTCCTTAAAGACTTTCAAGATAGATTTTTGTCATCCCCATTCCAGAAGTGAAGAAAGTGAGGCCCAGTAATTTGTGAGTGTATACCATGTTGCCTCTGAATAAAGAATAGAGCTCTTCATATTATTCAGTGTCTGTGCCTATGTTAGGTCATTTTGTGAGTGGTCTTTGTCTTTCCAGGTAGGTTGTAATTAAGCCTGAGAACTCTACTTATTCCTTTATTTCTCCTTTCTTCCCAGAGCAAGGCTTCAGAGATGGTATGTTCTCAGTGATTACCTGTCCCTAGCAGTAAAAAGATGATCTTCCTCACGTTCACTCCTGTGTGTGGGAGGGAAACCAGTCTGTTCAGCTGCTGCCTTCTCCATCTGTTCTCACTGACATTTGGGAGAAGGGCAAGAAGGCTGAGAGTGCTAATATTCATTTTGGCTTGAGCTTTGTGATAGTCTACTAGCTAGAAAGCAGTGAGGCTTCCAGAATCTTAGCACCATGTGGAATGGTCAGGGACTGTACAGAAGACATAGGTGCTTTGTGTTCATTCATCTAATGAGTATTTATAAACCATTCATTCACTCGTTCATTACAAGTAGTGTGCTAGGCATTATGAAACCATTGGTCAGCAAAATGGACAAAGTTCCTGAAGGAAACTTTGGGGTCCCGAAGGAACTTAAGAGTCTCGTGCAGGGGCAGACACTAAGCAAATACACATGCCCCTGGGAGGCCTCAATAGGGAGACCTGAGCTAGCCCTGGAGGCACGATACTGTGATAAAACATCAGAAAAAAGGAGGCAGTAGTGTCCTGTACACAGCTGTCTGTGGAAGCATGTGTGTTTCTTCCTTTGGAACACACAGTGACTTTTGCATCTCTCTCTTTTCCTTTTCTCAACAGGGCTACTCTGAGTCGCCAGACCTTGAGTTTGAGTATGCTGATACAGACAAGTGGGCTGCAGAGCTCTCTGGTAAAGCAGACCTTCATGTTACTTGGGGGGTGTTTTTTTCCTTATTGATCTTTAATAAAATTAAGAATAAATGTCATTTGGAGTTCATTTTTCTCCCNTATGTATGTATATATATGTATGTATGTGTATATATATATATATATATACACACACACACACATATGTTAATTATTGGATTCAAGCCTTGTGTATCTCATAACTTTGGTTTGTCTTAGTTTAAGAAGGCCTCTCTGTATGGTCAGCTCAGTTGGCTGTGGCCCAATCCCAGTGTGGAGAGTGATGTTCCTTGGCCATATACTGTCCCACTTGTGGTCTCTCCTGGAGCAGGGGGTCGTGAGGAGTACCCCTAGTGTCCTTTCATATGCACATCTCTTGTTGCCACTGCTGGTCATGTGTAATGTGAGGTGAACCTGAGCTGTTTTAATCTTAAACCTCCATAGTACCAGTCCTATTCAGATGGTAGCAGCCGCTTGAGAGACATGTTCATGGTGCGGTCAGCTGCTGGCATGGCATGGTGGGATGAATGCACATCAGACTGGAAATGACTAGGTTTATGCTTAGCTGACATTCTAGTAATGGGTGTAGGGTAAGTCAGTATTCTCTCCATTGTGCACATCAGAGCACTAACACCTCCATAGTAATTAGGTAGCATTGTCCAGGAGCCACTGTGACTCAGAGACAGTTGGGCCTAAAAGCCAAATGTCTTAACTTTCTTTGCTACATGTGAGACCTGCTATAGAATATGGACATGTTGCTGATGAGAATTCATTCTTGACAGAGCTTTACAGCTACACAGAAGGGCCAGAATTCCAGATGAATCGGAAGTGCTTTGAGGAGGACTTCCAAATCCATGGTGAGATAATTCCTTCCACTTCTTGGTTCCTTTCACCCTGCATCACAAGAGCTGCAAGGTTTCTCTTAGTCACCTGAATTACCTAAGCCATCCTGGGGTGGCCTAAGAAACTTGCTCAACCATGATTGTTTAAGGCCAGATGTGACATTTAGGATGGGCTTACAGGTACTCTGGTGATGGCTTTTCACAGTGTTAGTATTGGGGAAAAAAATTTATGTGATTAAAATTGCCAAAACTAGCAGTGTTTCAGTCCAGAAATTCAGATTGATAGAACAGCAGTGTGACCTTATCCCTTATGTAGAAAGTAACTTATCTTTCTGAGTTTTCTGGTCCTGTGGCAGTCACGAATTTGGTGGGCTAACATGGTGTCCATTCCACGGTGAGGATTTTTCTGGACTCAAGTGTAATTGGTCTCTTGCCCTGCAGTGACAGACAAGAAGTGGACTGAGCTAGACACCAACCAGCACCGCACCCATGCCATGAGACTCCTGGATGGCTTGGAAGTTACTGCCAGGGAGAGACGACTTAAGGTGGCTCGAGCAATTCTCTACGTTGCTCAAGGTAATGAGTGGACCCCGAGGGACCCCAGCACCTCCTTCAGTGACATTGCCTAGTCAGATACAGGAGCAGCTCTGTGAGCTGTGCCCTGTGTTTGCAGGCACCTTCGGGGAGTGTAGCTTGGAGGCGGAAGTGCAGTCCTGGATGCGCTACAATATATTTCTGCTCCTGGAGGTGGGCACGTTCAATGCTTTGGTGGAGCTTCTGAACATGGAAATAGAGTGAGTTCTTCTGAGGGGCTTGAGTAGGAAAGGAGAAGTAGGGGGACAGAGCTTGCAGAACTAACTGGTTTTGAGAGGGTTAAATGGGCCACGTGGGGCTTAGGGTCTGGTCCCAGGCTCTGTTCTAACCAGCCAGGTTGAACAATGGGTGATGTTCACCCAAACCTTGAAGACTAATGAAGGGTCCTCGCAACTCACTAACACCAGAGATTTGCCAGACAATACAGGTCCTGCCCAGGCCTCTGGTGCCTCTTAAAAGGAGGCTTTTCATCTGGAATTCGCTCAGCAGGAGGCCAGGCACAAGTCTGACATGGGTTCAACCAAAGCCTGTTTTAGCCTGTGTCACCACTAGTCCTCGGTGTGGGGTACAGGTTGGCTGCTGCTCATTTAAGGGTCACACTATCAATAAGAATAGCTAAGAACCCTCACTGACTGCTTACATGTTCCAGGTATTGTTCTAATTGTATGTGCATTGCATGTACTTATTACATTGATGACATAGTCCTAAAACCATCCCCATTTTGCAGATGAGGACACTAAAGTACAGAGAAGTTAAGAACCTTGCCCAAGGGCACACAGCTAGTCAGTGTTAGAACCAGGATTCAAACCTTGGCATTCTGGTCTGGGGGCCTGAGTTCTTACCCCCGAGTGCTGTGCCCTCTTGTGCCATCTAAGCATACATTAAAGCATTTTTGTCCTCCATTGGGCCGCCCTTCTCGGGAATGACTTCTTCCTTCCCAGGGAGGCACTGACTTTCCTCTCCCTCCTGCAGCAACAGTGCCGCTTGCAGCAGTGCGGTGAGGAAGCCAGCCATCTCCCTGGCTGACAGCACCGACCTGAGGTGAGCAGCAAGCTGGCGCTCCCTGAGCTTTGGCCAGAGGAGATCAGAGCAGGGCATGGGAGGGCATCTAGGTCTCCTCACTGTGTCTGTTCCTTCCGCACACACTGATCTGCAGGTGTGGCGAGTCAGTCTTGCTGAGGGTACTCCATAGGGGAGCTCTGGGTTGAAACCCCCATAGGAAACCCAGAGAGAAGTCACTTAATAGAGCCACAGTGAAGGGTAGCTGCCTGCCACACTGCTACTGAGAACTCAGTGGTATTTTATATTTGGATGAAATACATGATGTGGCTCCTTGGGCTCCTACCTTCTTGTGCACAGCTTGACCCCCATCTGTGTAGCATTGGGCCTGACAGCTTCAGGGTGTTTCATGGCTGCACAGGAATAGCAGTTGCTAAAGAATAAGACTACTTTCCCATTTTTGTGAGGATTAGACTATGTCTCTTTTTGTGAATTTGGAAGTTTTCAGCCTGGATGTCTGTGGTGTTGCCCACTGTAGTTAGGTCCCTGGGAATCACCTAGTCACTCCTATTTCTAGTCTGTGCTAAACACTTCTTTGTTTTCACTTTGACTTTGCTGTGTTTTGTCTGATCCAACACCCACTTCCAGAAGTCATTCCCACCTATGTGTTGTTTTAATTCCAGGAAGTTCAGGGCAATAAATGCTTCAGCAACCATTTATTTAGTACCTGTTTTGAGTAAGCACTTTGCTAGACGCTGGAAATACAAAACAGTATAACCTTAGCAACATAGGGTAGAGAGGGAAGCACCAAGAGATGCTCCATGGGACTCAGTTCTCTCTCCATGGCAGCTGTCCCACACAGCCAGCCCTTGTGCTCAGCTTTTCTCACGTTAGCTGGGATGTGCAGAAGCCAGGGGTGCTTCCTTGATCCCCCATCCTGCTCAGTTAGGAGCTGGTTCTTGTTCCCAGGGTCCTGCTCAACATCATGTACCTGATTGTGGAGACTGTTCACCAGGAGTGTGAGGGTGATAAGGCCGAGTGGAGGACGATGCGACAAACCTTCAGGGCTGAGCTGGGTAGGACCTTGGGGACCCTGTGTCCAGGCCCTGCCTGGGAGCTCATGGGCTTTGGGAGGATGCTCTTCCTGCCTATGGTCCTGAGACCTTTGTGTTGCCTCTAGGTTCCCCAGTGTACAACAATGAGCCATTTGCAATCATGCTGTTTGGGATGGTGACCAAATTTTGCAGTGGCCATGCCCCTCACTTTCCCATGAAGAAAGTTCTCTTGCTGCTCTGGAAGACAGTGTTGGTGAGCACCTGCTTGAAGGATAACTTGGGTGTAGGGGCCGGGGCAGGAGGGAGACTTTATTGTGTATCCTTTTGAATCTGAATTATGTGAATAGATACAGGATGATGTGTTTCCAATTCCTTTTGTTTAAAACAAAGCAAACAAAAATCCACTTTGGCTCTCTGTAGCTGAAGAGGACTTGGCCTTTGAGTCAGAAAAGATTGTTGGCTCCCTGTTGGCTATAAACTGTTTTTCCAGTCATAGAACATCTTTTCCTCAGACAAGCTGTTCCTGAACCTGGCGTATGTAAAGTGATTTGAGGCAGAATTAGAGCTGGTGTAATTGGGACCCCTCAGTCAGATATCACTTGAAGGAAACAAGAATGAGCCCTGAGCTAGTCTCTGTTTTTCTCAGGATATGACATGAAACTTGACCCTGTTTAAAGCTAGGGAAGGAATTGCCAGCACCCCTGGCTTAGCCAGTCCCAGTACCTTTCCTGCCAGGAGGAGCAGCCTGGGAAGAAAGTGGAGCTGGAGTTCGGACTGTTGCTCTCCCTGGGGCTCAGCCTCCCTTCTTTCAGAAGAGTCGGCTCTTTGGAGGCAGGCTCAGCGAGTTTAGGACCTCTTTCGAATAGTCTACACATTTGATCATGGCCAGATTTCCTTTCGGCTGTCAATGAACCCTGGCTGAAGCCAGAGGAAAGCTGAATTGCTCCGAAACAGTGAAACTAAGCAGTCCAACTTTGCTCGACACTACTGGGGTTTTGGCTTCTAGGGAGATGTTTAGATAAAAGGTTTTTTTTTTTCTTAATTTGAGCATCCAACAATGTATTCCCAATTTGACTTTGAAAACTGGCACGTACAACTTTTGTGGTACATGAGTCTCACTGGCTTTTCTAGGAACTTGAAGGGTTAGGCTCTTCAGTCTTGCCTTTTTTCTTTTTTAACTTGGAGAGTATATCATAGAAACAGAGCTAAATGTATCTGTGCACTAGTTCAGTCAGCCTGTATTTCTCCTGGTCTGTTTTACCTTCTTCCCTCTTAATGTCATGGCATTCTCATGTGGGTAGATTGAGTCCTTGTTCAGAGACTGTGGGTCTCTGCAAAGATGTGGGTCATGGTGTCATGGGTACATTCGAGCCTAACACAGGGATCAGGGACCTGTGCTCCCACCCCCACGTCTGTGATGCAGTGCACACTGGGCGGCTTTGAGGACCTGCAGGGCATGAAGGCTGAGAAGCGCAGCATCCTGGGCCTCCCACCACTGCCTGAGGACAGCATCAAAGTGATCCGCAACATGAGGGCTGCCTCTCCCCCAGCTTCTGCCTCAGATCTGATTGAGCAGCAGCAGAAACGGGGCCGTCGGGAGCACAAGGTGAGGTTCCCTGTAACTTCTGAGGATTCTCAAGGTGCACAGCACACAGAAGCATGGTCCCTGGACAAGCAGAGTTGTTGGAAATTTGACTTTGGTCAGCTAGTCAGAATGACGGCCTCTAGGGCAGGGACATTATGTCCCCAGCTCAGGGCCAGTTTATAGTGGGTACTCAGGATGTGGCACTTTTGAGGGACTGGGGCAAGAAGTGATTTGTCACTTGGGCCCAATCTTGATTTCCTCTCTGATTTTTCCACTGCCCTTTGCGCTCTACCTACCACCTTTCTGTGGGATAGCCACTCTAGCCTCCTTGCCCCTTTCTAGTTCATCAGGTGGCTCTTGTTGGTGATCTCCCTTCCCTCTGTTCCAGGCTCTGATAAAGCAGGATAACTTGGATGCCTTCAATGAGCGGGATCCCTATAAGGCTGATGACTCTCGAGAAGAGGAAGAGGAGAATGATGATGACAACAGTCTAGAGGGGGAGACATTCCCCCTTGAGCGGGATGAGGTGATGCCTCCCCCACTGCAACACCCCCAGACTGACAGGCTCACCTGCCCAAAGGGGCTCCCGTGGGCTCCCAAGGTCAGGTAAGCCTCAGACCTCTGGAATACTCTTGGCTTCTAAAACAGGAACCCTCACACCCCCCAGGCCTGGGTCACCACATGAGGTCCTCTGCGGGACCAGGCTGACCTTGGCTCTGGGACAGTGCTCTCTGAAAGTACGCTGTGGTGGCCTGGGGGGTCTCACAGTGCCGGCTTTGCACAAAGAGGCCCTTGTATGGCTCTTGAATTAGTTTTTGGTTAGATGTGATACTAGTGAAGGGGAATAATCAAAAAATAAAAAACGACATCTTTAGTGAACCCGTTTCTACCCATCCTGTGGTTGTAGATGGTTTTTTAAATTATAGATTAAGGAAAAGTTTTTTAATTAAAATGTTTGAGATGTGTGTGAATCAGTGGATGGCAAAGTACTTTATATATAAAATGGTATGTTTGAAAAGGCACCAACTTAAGAAACAGATGAACGTGTGAAAGGATATGCAAGTCATTTTCTTGATTCAGGTAAAACCCCAGTTTTCAGTATGTGATGGGAATACAAAACAAAGTCGTCAGAAAACACAAGGTAATGCTGGTTGTTTGAAACAGGAAAATGTCGGTTCATATAAAAAAATTAGTAGCTTATAGTTCCAATCGTAATGATTTTGAAGTTTGAGAAATCCTGTTTACAAACTTGTTATACTATCTAAAGTATGCTTTTAAGTTTGAGGTATCACTTAATTTTATGAGTGAACTATTTACACATCATATATTTTCAAGTTACTGATCCAAAAACATTATTAAGGACATTAAAATACTCTGAAAATTTCAGTCCTTTCTTTTCTCTTTCCCTTTCCCTTTCCCATTCTCTTTCCCTTTCCCTTTCTTTCTTTTTTCCCCAAAAGAAAACTGTGGGAGACTCTTCTGGTTTCTCAATTTCTAGACAGTCTGTGTTTTATGAACCTTGACACGTTTAATAAAAACCTTGAGATTATACTTAATAAAAACTTTGTTCCTCTTCTTTGGCAGAGAGAAAGACATTGAGATGTTCCTTGAGTCCAGCCGCAGCAAATTCATCGGGTACACTCTGGGCAGGTGAGTGGGATCCGAGTGCCTTTTGAAGAAAGGTGATAGGAGTTCACTCTCCTGGACTGTAGTGCTTGGGGATCCAGGCAAATTGATGTCTAGACTTAACGCAGAGCCTGCTTCATTCTCTAGTGACACGAACACAGTCGTGGGGCTGCCCAGGCCAATCCATGAAAGCATCAAGACCCTGAAACAGGTAGGTGGCCTTGGTGAACTTTTGGCCTAGTGTGGTCCCGTGTGAGTAAAGTGAGACCAGCCCAATGGGAGAAACCTTTTCAGGCTGTTGTCAGTGTGAAGGAACCTACGGTGGAGGAGTGGGTGGACTGTGGCAATACCCCTTAAAATAGTTCTTCAAAAGTTTTACTTAATTTAGCTGAGCTTTTGGTGGAGGCTTAATGGATTGATTAAAAATTATACTATATGACAGTTGTTGAAGTTTTAAGGGACTCAATAAATAGTCCTTCCTTTTCCTTGTCCAACTTCTAAGCTAGTTGAGAAAGAGAAGCAGCCAGATACAGATAGAAATGCCAGCTTTATTGCTGACAGAGTGATTGGAGTGTACTAATAAACACAGAAGGTGACCTAATGCCTTACTTCCAGAATTAGGTGGGTTCATCTACCCGGACGCAGGCAGTGCTGGAGCCCTGCTAAGCCTGGTTGAGGGGTGGAAGAGAGCACAGGCTTTTCTTTTTCCTAAAGAGGGAAAAGGAAAGAGAGGTTGGGCTAAGAATGTCCCCTCCTACCATACTGATGAAGTAGTGAGAGGAGTTAGTGTGTGGGAAGGGGCAGGGGGAGAACTGAAGAGGATTTTGCAAATATATATCCCTCCAATGTGGGAGGAAACATCAAGTTGGGGAGAGGTGTCTTCCTTAACAACATATCTGGAGCATAAATGCTTATATGTTTTTGAAATATATATATTTGAAATTCCTAGAACTATGTGCGCCCTATGCAGGTAGACTTTTTGAGTACTTGGTTCTCCTTTTAATAATTTTTCTTCTGTCCCTGTAGCTATCTGAAAGCCCTTTCCTCTCCTTTAATTTGCTTTTTTCTAATCTAATGTATTGTGTGTTTTTGCACTGGTTGTAAGACCTAGGTGCCCAATTAGAAAAATACTTGGGGTTTGGGATTTTAGTTAGGGATCTTTGTGATGACTTAGCCCCCTTCGAGAAGATTGTGTTTGAAAAAAATTGCATGGGATCTTTTCCAGGGCATGGGGCATTTGGCCAGAGAATGAGAGGTGTTTCCCCAGTGCCTTCTTTCCCTTCTCTCTCTCCAGCACAAGTACACGTCAATTGCGGAGGTCCAAGCCCAGATGGAGGAGGAGTATCTTCGCTCTCCTCTTTCAGGGGTAAGTTGAAGACCTTCTGCCCACAGGCTCCCAAGCCTTTCCCATGCTCTGTGCTGGGCCTACAGCATCAAGGTACCCCAGACCCTGCCCTCAAAGTCTCCCAGTCCAGCTCCCCCTGCAGGGGTGGCATACATCTAGTGCAGGGGTTTAAGGCACAGGCTCGGAGCCAGTCCCCTGCCTCTGAATCTCTGCTCTACCACCTGGTAGGCAGCAACCAGGCAAAGTGCTGGATCTCTTTGTGCTTTACTTCCTTACCTGTAGAATGAGAATTTCAGCAGCCCCTTCTTCATAGAGTTGTAGAAGGATTAACTGCGTTATTACAAGTGCTCAGCACGTTACAGTATTCAAGGTTTACTATCATTAAAACATCATTATTTACATCGATACCTATAAATTCTCCAGTCAGCTAGCAAGCTGGCTCAGGAGACTGTAGTCAGGACTGGGGTTTGTATTTGTACCTGTTTTGTTAAAAGGGAGAAGAGGAAGTCGAACAGGTCCCCGCGGAAACCCTCTACCAAGGCTTGCTCCCCAGCCTGCCTCAGTACATGGTGAGTGCTCCTCTTGAGTGCTGTGTGTCTGAGACACCTTCAGTGGCCAGCAGTAGGTGCCTGCTGTGGGATCATCCTCCCCACTACACTGGCCTCAGGAGCCTGCCCTGCCAGCATCCTCCAGCCACCTTCCCCTGCTGCCTCTGCGCCTCCAGGAAGGCCTGCCTCTCAGGGCCTAGCTCTGCTCCTGGGCTCTCAGACATGCCGGAATGGTCTGTTCCTCCCCAGATTGCACTGCTGAAGATCCTCCTGGCTGCAGCTCCCACCTCAAAAGCCAAAACAGACTCAATCAACATCCTAGCAGACGTTCTGCCCGAGGAGATGCCGTGAGTATCATCCCTATGAGCGGAGCAGGGCAGGGGTGGTGGGAATGGCTGTGGGGGTTTCCTTTCTGTCCCCTGTTTGCTGGGTTGGTTTCTTTGACCCAGCTTTTCTGCAGGTTAAGTTTAGGGTATTCTTTGCTCAGAAGAAAGAAAATGCACTAGATTAAATATTTAGTTTTATGGGCTGGGAAAATGGCTTAGTCTAGTTGGCTTGGATTCTAGTGCAGACTCCACCACTGAATGAATGCCTGAGTGAATTGGGAAAAATAATTTCCTCCTCTGTAAGTGAATCAGGCTGTGTTCGACATTTCCTGAAACCCTCCCTTGAAAACTGTGTGATTGGGATATCCAGGACATGTCGGTTTAGCTTCTGGACGGTTTGCCAGTCAGTAGCTAAATCTGAGCTGGGTGAACTGGCACACACAGGGTTTGTGAATATCTCTGGGAAATCGTGAAAGCCTTAGGGATTCTTTCTCCCCGGGGCACTGATCTCTTTGACGTGAGAATACAAACTGAGATTGTGTTCTTCTTTGAGAAGGGTCTGTGCCTTGACCTGATGTGCCTGTCTGCCAGTAACAGCTGTCTCTGTAAAGAGGGTTCCCAGAGTCAAATACTCTATCTCCTCTTACAAAGATTTACAGTGAAAAGTTCTGAATTTAGAAGTTGACTTAACTCAATGCTTCCTGAATTTATCTGACTAAAACTCCATGCCATGAAACATCTCAGTGTAGTGGTTTTCCATGGAACACACTTTGAGGAACACAAGTTCATATGATAGTAAAAGCTTAGGGGAGATCCTGAAAGGGAAAGGTTCATTTTTAGAGGAAAAACAGGAAAGTGGGCTAAGAATGTGTGGTATCACAAGGAAGAAATAAATTCTGCTGAGCTAATTGCTTGGGAATTGGGGGGAGGAGCCCTGGGCCTATCCTCGGACAGTTGCATGGGGTGGGTGGTAAGGTGGGAGCCTTTGCCCAGAGAAGGCTCAGGAATCCCATCTCTCCTAAGAGCACCTGGGAGGCAGGTGCCGTACATGCTGTGACTCACCCAGGAACTGTGTTTCCAGCACCACAGTGCTGCAGAGCATGAAGCTGGGGGTGGATGTGAACCGCCACAAAGAGGTCATTGTTAAGGCCATTTCTGCTGTCCTGCTGCTGCTGCTCAAGCACTTTAAGTTGAACCACATCTACCAGGTACTTGCAGGGCCCTTCTTCCTGTCCACTGGGCAGGGCCTCAGATGGTGCTATTCCTTCAGCCCCTTGATCTTCAACCCTCCTTGAGCTCTGCATGAATGTGGAAGACACAGTCTTCCAACCAAGGCCTTTTATCACTGGAGGAAAGAGGGTGAGGTGCTTAGGAACATGCTTATTTTTTTCTGTTGGTTTCAGTTTGAATACATGGCCCAGCACTTGGTGTTTGCAAACTGCATTCCTTTGATCTTAAAGTTCTTCAATCAAAACATCATGTCCTACATCACTGCCAAGAACAGGTGATAAGGACCAGGGATCAGGAAGGGGTAGATATGGCCAGATGGCAGGGCTCCCAGCTGGCTTCTCCCACTGAGCCAGTTCAACACCTACAAACCAGCACACTGCTAGGCATCAATCAGGACACAAAGATGAATGAGATACGGTCCCTGTTTGTGGAGCAAGCCAGCATATCAAATCTTGAGTCTAGGAGGCATGTGACTAAGTCTGTGCCTGGGTGGAAGGGTTCTTATTCTGGACTCCAGTAGCACCCTCACTGCCCTGTGGTTTTCTGTTTGAGGAGACTGGAGCAGGAGCTCAGCTGTATGCACAGTAACGCCCTGTCTGCTGACTCTTACCCCCTCTCCACACCCCCCATCCTGGTTGTACTCAATAGCACCTGCTCATCAGTGAGTTACACCACAGGGTAGGCTGTTAGCCAGACGTAGTCTCCAGTAGGATCTTGAGAAATCCCCTCCAGCCCCAGTCCTTTGCTGTGGGGAAAGAAGGTTTCCACCCCTTAAGATATTACAAGCTGGTCTCTAGCCACAGAGGGACGGTGAGTTCTCATCTTATAGCTGGGAAAACCAGGGTGGTGTAGACAAGGTAGATTCCTGCTTCCAGTCCAACAGGTGAGGGAGGACAGCCAGAGCCAGCCCTGTCCCGACTGCTTTGCCAGACCCCAGCGTTCACTCAAGGTGGGTGCCTGGGTCCTCTTGCCTTCTGCAGCATTTCTGTCCTGGATTACCCTCACTGCGTGGTGCACGAGCTGCCTGAGCTGACGGCCGAGGGTCTGGTGAGTGGCTGGTTATTCCCCAGCTGTCTCTCTGCAGAGAGGGTCAGTGGTGGAGAACCTCCTCCCCCCATACAGGGGAGAGGTGTCTTCATAGATGAGGTCACTGCTGACTGCCTTGCTTTTAAAGCACTCTAAGAAGGCCCGGGGGAGGGACTTTGCAGAATGGGATGATTTAGGTAGAGGGATTAGTCAGGAGGATGGTCTTCAGGGGCTGCTGGTCGAATTGCTTCTCTCACTGGTTGAATCGCTTCTCTCTCTGCACACCAGAACTCTGTGGGGCCACAGCTCTGAGGGAGCCTGGGTGCTCCAGGATGTGGGAGCTGAGGTTACAGCCCCCAGAACCATGCTCCATGTTTCCTGCAGGAAAACTCTAGGGAGGCCCCCCATCCCCTGCCAGCTTCTGGGATGGAGACGCCTCTGGGCTGAGGAGAGGAGAGGGCTGCTGGTTTAGACACGGAGAGGTCTGAGATGTCTGTATGAGTGCCTTGGGAACTGCTGAGTTCTCTGCAGCTGTGAGGGGCATGATTTTCCTGGTTTTTCCCTGTAGGAAGCAGGTGACAATAACCAGTTTTGCTGGAGGAACCTCTTTTCTTGTATCAATCTTCTTCGGATCTTGAACAAGCTGACAAAATGGAAGCATTCAAGGACGATGGTGAGTCGGCCTTCAGTAGGCATGAGACTTGGAGCTCAGAGTGCCAAGCCCGGTACTGTCCCTTTCACATGGGGGACAGGGAGTCCCCAGGGTGGGCTTGGTTCTGCAGCTACATCCTCACTGACTTCCCTGTAGCCACATCCTTGCATTTTAAGGACTAATTTCTGGTTCCTTAATGAATTGAACTGGAAGCTGGAAGAGGCTCAGCCATGTACTAAAACAAGTCCACATTTACAGAGGGATTTCCTACATCTTCTTAGTCTCTGTTAGTAACATAATGAGGGTTCTGGGAGTCTCCCTTAACCCTTTGAGGATGCCTTTGGGGTGTGGGGGTCCACGAATTTGCTAAAATTGTATGTGTGTGCAAATAGGAATATTCCTGGTAAAGGAACTTGGCTTTTTTCAGATTCCAAAGGGACCCATATCAGGGTGACTAACCATCTCAGTCTGCCTGGGACTCCTGGTTTTAGCAGTGGAAGCCCCATGTCCCAGGAAGCCCCTCCATCTGGGAAAACTGGGATGGCACCCTGCCCATAACTCCAAAAGGGGTATGCAGCAAGATGGTGGTGTAGGCATTTATTTCTGCCCTTGGCTTGGCCTACTCTTGTGCCCCTTCCCAGATGCTGGTGGTGTTCAAGTCAGCCCCCATCTTGAAGCGGGCGCTGAAGGTGAAACAGGCCATGATGCAGCTCTATGTGTTGAAGCTGCTCAAGGTGCAGACCAAGTATCTGGGGCGGCAGTGGCGAAAGAGCAACATGAAGACAATGTCTGCCATCTACCAGAAGGTGCGGCATCGGCTGAATGATGACTGGGCATACGGAAATGGTGAGTCTCTGGCACGATGTGGGTGGCAGGGGTGGCAGGGAAGAGGTGACTGTGTTCCCTTTCTGCTCTAAGCTTCCCTCTGAGGCACCCAGAAGAGCCCAGCTCCAGCTTCTGTAGCATCAGGATGGGAGCTCTAGCAAGGACTTTGAGAAGCTTGCCATCTGTCATCCTCCATACTTCTCTGTCCCTCCCTTTGAAGTCATTCCTTTTCCAGAAATTGTCACAGGACTCTGTCATTTTTTCTTCTCCCCCTTGGCTTTGGCCACTGAAATGCTTGCAACTCCGGGTGACTTCCCTGCCTCTAGTTTCTTCCCATAAGTGCCTCAAACTCTGCCCCAGTGATCATTTTAAAATGCAGATCTGGTGTTGCTAACTCCCTGAGTAAACTCCTTCATTAGCTTCTGATTTCCCTTAGAATTAAAGCTAAATTCTCATTCAAGGGGAGGCCCACCAGCCACCCTGTCCTCCACTGTAATGCGGTCCACCTCAGCCTGCCTGCACCACACCCGGCTCTCTGGGCACGCAGAAAGCGCTCAGTGCATGTGCATTAGCCATGCTGCCCCCCACCTGTGCTCCTCCTTCTGGCAGGGTGCCCTTCCCCACTGGCTATTGTGTTTCTGCATGCATTCTTTCTGCCAAGTCCAGGTGGCCTGGCCCCGAGCTGCAGTGAACTCCAGAGGAGCTGCCACAGGGCTTGGTTCCTAACCATGTCTTCCTGCTTTGCCCTAGACCTCGATGCCCGGCCTTGGGACTTCCAGGCAGAGGAGTGTGCCCTCCGTGCCAACATTGAACGTTTTAATGCCCGGCGCTATGACCGAGCCCATAGCAACCCTGACTTCCTGCCTGTGGACAACTGCCTGCAGAGTGTCCTGGGCCAGCGGGTGGACCTCCCTGAAGACTTCCAGATGAACTATGACCTCTGGTTAGAAAGGGAGGTCTTCTCCAAACCCATTTCCTGGGAAGAGCTGCTGCAGTGAGGCTCCTGGGCAGGGGACTGAAAAGGAAAGGGTGTGGTGCTGGCCAGGGACTGTACTGGCTCATTGCTGCAGTGCTTTCAGCTCCCTCCAGGTGGCAGCACAGCACCACTGTGCCCTTCCTAGACAACACCCAGCATGTGGGAAATCCTGAGTTGGCCTCCCATTGATTTCTAGCATCCTGCTCTGGACGGCTCATCTCTCTCTTCTTGGGATCCTCTCTTCCTTCTCTCCTTCCCACTCTCCTGTCTTGGACATGGTTGGTTGAAGCTCATTCTCATTCATCCCAAGGCTGGGAAAAGCTGGGATGGCTGGGAACCCATTGCATCTGAATTTCAAAAGTCATGCTGACTCTTTGTGAGATGCACAAACCCTTGGTATGTCAGCTCGCTAAGGAAGTGGGTTTCAAATTAGGGCCAGGGCCAGAAGGTCGGAATCCTGGTTTTGGTTTGGGGGATTTCTGATGTCATTCCAGCCTCCTGCTAAGTTTCATCCAGAAGCAATTGCAGAGGCTCCCATAGCTGGCTCTCGGTTTGGTTTCGGGCAGGATTGGAAGAGAAGCTTCCCTTAACCAGAGGTGCCATTTTTCCTCTTGGTTTGCAAGGGTCTGTAAATATCTATATATATGAATCTGTGTGTATTCTCTTGTGTCATGTTGGGGTTTTAAATGTGTTTGTGTACTCTGTTTACATTAAAAGGAAGCAAAAACATTCCCATTGCTTTGTCTGTAGGAAATACAGCCCTTGAATACCTCTTCTTGGTCTAGAAATTGGGTTTTCCTGCCAGCATTAAGGTTACCCACTTGTTCCCTGCCAAGCTGCCTGCCTTACCCCCTGAAGGGGGCAGAGGCGGAGTCGGCTCTTAACCCAGAGTGTTCTCTCTCCACATCAGTCTGGGATTGCTCCAACCCAGGGCCAGGGCTCTGGGTTGCTAGGGTGACAAGTTGTCCTGCACCCCTGGGTTTAATGTAATCGCTGTAAAAGCTCACTCCTACTCCTGAGCTGGCCTCAGCCAAACCAATTTAAATGCCAGGAGGGAGGGGTAGGTCAGAGAAGGGGCTGCCTGTTCTGGGCCTTCCCTGGGACAGGTGGCTGGGACTGAGAGGAAGCTTATGTGCCTAGAGCCTAGGGAAGCAGACCAAGAGTCAGCTTCACAGTGGGAAAGGTGTTGGAGGAGCCAGGAGCGTGCATGGCAGAGGGAGAAGCAAGGAAAGTCTTTGTGGTAGTTGTCATTTTGAGATCTCCTGGAGCCAGTACCTGGCCTTCAGATTCCCGGACATGAGTGTCCCTACCTAGCTTGATCCTGAAGCTCTGCTCCTGAGGATCTATCATTCTGCTGTCTTTTTGGAATTGGCTTGACAAGCCCTTGCCTGTAAGACATGTGTATGGGGTGTTCTCCCAGGGGTCTTGAGTCTTGACTTGAAATGTATTCCAGGGAAGATCTCCCCTTTGTTGGCTCTTCTGGTCAGTGCCTGTGTGGCCTGGGGCCTGTGAGGCCTCATTTCAGACCCTGGGCTGGGTTTCCAGGACAAGCTGTAATGGGTCAGCATGGTTGGAAGCAGCAGGGGTGCAGCCAGCAGAGTAGTCTTTAGTGTGTCACACAGCCTATGAAATGGGGAGTTCCTGTGACTGAATGGCCTTTTGCCCCAAAGTTACTTGCACAGGACAGGGAATTTGACACAGTTCATGTGCACATGATGGATTTTCTGCTATTTCTTGCCAGGACCAATGGGAAGTATGTATCTTGAGATCTCAGTTTGGGTCAGATGGATTTTCGCATTCTTATTCCACCAAGCATGGAACCTGGCTCTCTCAACCTGGTTGGCAGAGCTTTGTCCTCCTCCTTTTTTGATTTCCCCAGTCTCTCCTCTGAAGCTTCCCTTAACCAGAGGTGCCATTTTTCTCTTGGTCTGCAAGTCTGTAAATAGCTGTATGTAAATCTGTACAAAAAAGAGTGCAAAATATCCAAGCTGCCAGGGCCGTAAAACCTGGACAGGTAAATCCTGTGTTGGCTCAGGGGCCGGCCCAGGAAGGGAAGTGCCTTATCACAAACACAGACAGTGCTAATGGCAGGTTGGCCATGTGAATCCAGGTCTTTGTACAGAAATATCTTTTGGAGTGGCTTTATGTTTTATCTGGGTCATGAGGTAAGAAGGGTATATGAAGGCCCTTTATAAATGGCTGGGTTACATAAAATGTTGATTGTTGCTAATTGGGCTCACGGCCTAGTACTCCTTCAGTCCATTGGGGGGTGGATGATGCCTTGCCTATATGGCCTCGAGGATGGGAACTGCCCCTCGTTAATCAAGAGTCCCCACTCACTGGGTGCCAAATGGGTACCAGATCCAATATTTCAATATTCTTGAAAGCTCATTTTCCACACAGTAGCCACCAAGTATGGGGTGCTTACTGTGTGCCAGCTACTGCTCTGAGCACTCTATGTATAATAGCCTATTGCTTGTAATAACCCTGAAAGGTAGTACCATTACAATGCTTGTTTTGTGGCTGAGAAACTGGTACAGAAAGGGTAAAGAACATGCCTAAGGTCCCAAGATAATGAGAGCCAGAGTACCATTGCAAACCCAGGTCTCCCTTTGCAAAGTGTGTGTCCGTCCACCACCCCCCACACCCTTTCTCTGTTAACCATCGTTAGTCCCCAGCACTTAGCACCAGGGCATTCATTGGCTTATTTATTCACCTTTGTCAGTGCTTAGTATTTGTCCAAGCATGGTCCCTGGCAAGAAGATTGTGGCAAATGTCAGTTGCTTTAGGGCCCTAACTGCCCACCCAAGCCTGGCCCTGGCCTAGCCTCTGGTGTGTCTCACAACTGCCCTCCTCAGGGCAACTTGGGGGCTGTCGCTGCTACCTTTTCTTCTTTTACAGCCTGAGCTTGAATGTCTTTCTGTCTTGGGTCCTGAGGACTTGGTGTGGCTGCCCCTGCCATGCCTGTCAAGCTGATCTCCTGGGAGGCTAGCTTCCTGTCTGTCCTCTAATGAGCCTGTGCCACTTGCCAGGCACAGTTAGCCCCCGGCCGCTGGCTGTAACACAAGGCGGGTGTGCCCTCTGGGAGTGAGACAGCCTTGACTTTCATTCCAGGCTCTGACATTTACTCACTGAGGGACCTTGGGTTCATCAAGCTCTAAGCTTCAGTTGGCTCATCTGTAAAATTGATTTAATAATAGCAAGATGGTTGTGAGGGCTTGAATAGGATAATGGATAATGGACCTACATACCTGGCTGACATGAAACAACACAGCTAATAAATAAATGGCAGCTGTTCTTACATACAATTCTAACCTTCTATGAATTTGCATCCATTTCCTCTGTCCCCTGGAAAACAGACCCTTTTAAGGATGAGAATCTTATCCTTTCATCCTTAGCTCACTGCTCTGAATACAGAAGTCTCTCAAAAAGTCAGCCACTCACCTAGCAATACTGCCCCATAGCTTGAAGACCTGTTCTGGGCTGGGCCCCATTCTGGGTGTGCAGGTGAACAGAACCCCACATGCTCACCTTCTTTGATGTGCTCACAGTTGATGGAGAGATGGCCATAAAAGCAAGAACAGTAACCTGGTAGGTACCGAGACAGACATCTGTGGGGCCCAGCTGGTTCCATTGGGCCCAGCCAGTGCCCTCACACTGGAAAAGAGAGTTGTTGGATGGGAATGGCGTCAGTACCAGGGCCCTAAGAGTAGGTGCTCGGTGCTCACTGTCCCCCCCCGCCCCCCAATGAAAGTGGTTAGGATGAGGCTGTGGCAGAGGCTGGGCTAGGGGTGAGGCAGGTATTCCCTTTGCCTGATACAGACAGTGCCCAGTTACTAGCAATGCCTGGCTCTGTTTCTGTCTGAGTCAGCAGAGGATCTGCCCTTCAGGGTTATAATTCCAGTTGATGTGTAAATAGTGGGGGAGGTGGGAAAGAAGATTGAATGCCTCTAATGAGAATCATTCCCCAGAGCCAGACTGAGACTAGAAGCCAGGAGTGAAAGGCCTGCTGCCAGCGGCCTCCACTGTGGGCCTGGTGTCTGTGGTTCTGCCAGGACCAAGATTTAGGGTTTCTCTGGGTGGATCTTAGGCAGAGAGGTGCCTTTGCAAAGGGAGATTGAGCCTACAACTTTCTTAGTGTTGGGATTCCAGGTGGGGTCACTTCCCCTTTCCTTTTCCAAAAGGTCTGGCCAGAGCCCCAGCCTGGCCTTAGGGATACATGGGGCCTAGGCTGAGGGCTGAGTCACTGGAGTGAGGCTGGCAGAGGGCAGCAGGAGACCCGGAGGCCCTGTCTTAGAGGTTGAAATGCTTAGGGTGTGGACGAGGGTGAGAGGACGGCTAATGGGAAGCAGCTGGAAGGGCTGCCCGTGTCCCAGCCAGGGGACAGACAGGCTGGGATGGCCCAGTCAGTGGGAGAACCCGTCAGCTCACAGATAATCCTAGGGAACAGGCTCTGGGATGCTCATTAATATTCATTATGTGTGAAGTGGGCAATTGTAAAGTTAGCTTTCTCTTCATTTAGCTGTCACTGGACAGAAAAATATGAGCTGTGGGCAGATGCCCTGGATGGGAGCCAGTAGCTGGTCTCTGGCCTTCCTGTGCCCTCCCCAGCCAGAGCCTCCCCCCCGCACGCAGGGCCCACTCTGGCCTCTGCCCGCCTCTCCTGCTCTTGATGCACTGGTTTCTGACTCAGCTTTCTTCTCTTGTCTGTTTCTTCCCCATTTGTGCTTCCTTTGCTTTCCCAGAAGATCCCTTCCTCTTCCTTCTCTCCACCTCTTTCTAAGTTGTGAGAGAGGGAATGAATCGTTTTTCTTGACCATTGCCTTTTATCTCTGGCACCCAGCACAATGCCTCGCACAGAGTGGGCGCTCAATAAACATTTGTAAAACAAACTAATCTCTCTGCATCCAACATTGTGGAACAGGAATTTTGCTGGCCACTCCTTGGGTGAGGAAACTTCTAGTGCAGTGGCCTTAAACCTGGAGTTAGAAATGTAGGTTAACCTCTGTCTGTCAGAGGAAGCTGGGATGCCTCTTCCTACTATTCATTCTTCCCTTCCTTCCCTCCTGATGGACACAGGGCCCATGCCTGGCCCTCAGAGCCAGGATCAGTACAGAGAGGAGAGAAGTTGCCAGAAGCCAGGCCTCTGAGTGAAGTGAAGGGATGAGAAGGAAGACAGGTTTCCTCTGGGGGATGCTTAAGCCTAGTCACAGTGACTGTCTTGGCCAGAAAATATGATGTAAGGGGGACTTGCTATGTCTCTGGATATAAGCATGGTGCTGGCGTCTGTGTGCTCGGGTTTCTCTGTGCCTGGAAGAGGAGGCACAGGGTGGGGTGGCTGGGCTGCTAGCTGAGGCTGGGCTCCTGAGCAATGTGGTTGTGTTTACTGGGAGGGTGGGAGGGCCAGGCCTGTTTTTGTCCTGCCTTCCAGGCTGTGGAGATAAGGCAGAAAGTGGGGATGAAGGATAGAATGGGTAATACTCTGAAGCCACAAGAGAGAGTCCTGGCTTTCGTCTCTGCCCCTCAGATATGTGTCTGGGGTGGCTGGGAGAGGGGAGCCACCCACCCCAGCTCAGAGGACCTTAGAGCCCTTGGTGGGCTCCTCAGTCTTTATTCCACTTTCTTTCCATGGTCAGTTCAGCCACAGCTTATCTCCGTCTTCTCACAGCCCTTCCCACCCACACCCACACCCCCATTTCCCCTTACAAATAAGCCCAGCAGCCTTAGAGCTGACTCTTTCTGCCTCCTGTACCAGCCTGGACCACAGAGACCCCAGGCAGGTGACAGGGCCAGGCACGGCATGCAGACCCACCTTCCCCTAGCCTCTGGGATCCCTTTTGGCCCTTCAGAAGGGCCTGGCCCAGCCTGGACCCTGGGCACAGACAAGCCCTAGAGCAACCGAGTGCCAAACCCTGAGGATATAGAGTCACCTGGTCTAAAAGATATTGCCACCTTTATTATTATGCTGGGTAGCACACTTTTTCTAACAAAAATATGTTTACAAAACTGGAACTCAGGATCTCAGGGGTTCAGTCTGTGGAAATCTGTTTTATTCTTACCAACATCTAATGAATAAACCAAGAGAGCCTACAGTTTCCATGGCATAGCTTTGGCCTGATCCCATGGAAGAGAATCCAAATATTTGGTGGTTTCTGGTGGAATTTCTGCCCCCTTGGAGGGTAAGGAGGACTCCAAGTATGTTGGGGTAAGGGTCACAGGGCAAGGAGTAAGGGTTGGCCGGAGTAGGGAGACTGGGGCACTTCACACAGACCTCCAGCTTCGGGGCCCTTGGAAGCGCCAGACACTGGGTGCACGCCCCCTGGTGGTGGGAGGGGGAAGTAAGGCCAGCCCTGGGTGGTCATTCAAGACTGGTCAGTCACAGGGAGCACCTCTTTGTTGAACTTGTGTTCTCCTCCCATTTTTCCTGGGTTCCCTGAATGAGGAGCCAGTTAAGCCATTTCAGCTGGAGGGATTACAGTTAAACTTGGATGAAGTCAGAAGGAAGCAGGGCGGTGACTTCCTCTGGCCCAGAATTTAGGTGAGGGGCTCAGTGTGTGGTAGGAAAAGTCCTGCCTGCCTTGAAGCCCCCTTTCTCCTGGGAAGCCCCACATTATTTTAAGAGAAAACATGCTAGCTTTTTCCCTGCGTTGACTGAGGGTCCCAGCTCTGCCCAGGCCTCCAGGAGTCATTTTGGGGCTTGGAGGCAGAGGGGTGTCCTCTCTGGCATCCAGGTTGGGGTGGGGTGGGAGCACCTGGGAACAGAAAAGGGGGTGGAAAGCTTAGTCTGCACTTTCATACAACTGATCACGTGGTCCAGTTCAGCAGGCTGGGCGGCTCCTTGGGCTTTACCCTGAGTGAGATGAGGCTTGGGGACTTACAGTCAACATCGGGGGAAGGCTCAAAGCTGTGGCCCTCTAGGGCAGGGGAAAAGCCATGGATGGAGTAGATGCCAGGGTGGGCTCCAGGGGAGGCTGACACCCCCATGAAGCCAGTCACATTCCCATGAGTGTGGGAGTATGGAGACATGCACGGGGAAGGGATGCCCTCCGATGACATTAGGCAGGGGCCCACCGGGCTCCCAGACCCTGGACTGGGCCACAAGGAGTTCTGCAGCTGAAAAGAGAAAAAGAAGGCCCATGAATCAGTAGCCCCAGAGGTTGCTTCCTTAGGAGCTCTCTCTTTGCCCTTCGGGCTCCAGAAACTTTCTAAGAAAACTCCACTTGGCCCATATTACCCTCCTCCTCCTCCCCACATTCACTGTGGCATCTCAGGATTCACTGTGCCACTGCCTCTCAAGAGGAGATTTTCTTCAGTGATCCCTTTGGCTGCTCTGCATGCTTCATTCCTGAGAGCCCCACTTTGCAGAGGAGGAAGTGATTTACCCACTCCTACATAGCCCTAAGGCTGCTCCAGGTCTCCCTGGGGCCAGAGCTCACACTCTTGCTCGCTGCTCCAGGGGATGTGGCCAGGCCCTGCCTTAGGGTGGGGTCTCACCTGGGGGTGGCTGTCTGTTCGGGGCAGCACAGAGATGTCATAGGCAGATGTGAAGGGGTTCCGTCCCTCCTGGATCTTCCCATAACGCTCACGCTTCCGCCACTTGGCTCTGCGGTTTTGGAACCAGACCTGGGGGCAAAGGGGAGAGGCTGAGGAGGTGATAAAGTGGCCCCGAGGAAAGGAGCCATTGGGAAAAAAATTGAAGTTTGTATCCTGCTGCTGGGGGTGCTCTTGAGCTGCAGGAGCTTTTCTCAGGGCCAGGGGAGCCTGGGATGGGGCCTAGGAAAGGCCAAGCCAAGGGCTTATTGGCCTGATGGGTCAATCCCCCTGCCACCACATCCCCCAGTTCCCAGCTTGAAACACTCGGTCCTCCTGACTGTGTCTGGTAAGGGTGCCATGTGGCTCCGTAGCATCAAAGTCCCTGCACATTTCCCAGGTGTACCAGTGTACATGTGTTGGCTTCCTAGCCCCCCTGCCTCATCTCCTTGTCTAGTGTACCCACCTCACTACAGCTGAGAAATCTTTAAAGATATTATTGTTCAGGTTCTGGTCCTCCTTAAACTCTCTGTGGCTCCCAGTAGATCTCAGCCCAGAGACCAGCTCCTTGACAAGGCCCCTTGGCATTGAGTCCTACCCTCTTCACAGCCTCATCTCATGCCAGGCAGTAACACCCAATTCTTCCTAGCTGCCTCTCAACACTCAATCCTTCCAGCTTGCCTTTGAAACACTCTGCTACCTTGCTCCTTCTGGCCTTAGCCCAGGTTTTCCCTGCCTGCGCTACCTGTCCCCCCACAGGTATACCTGAGCTGGGTACCCCCTGCACTGACCCTCCATGATACCCTGGTATCTTTTTCCTTGTACTTACCATATCATATTACCATGATCTGTTTTGGAATCTGTCTCTCCCAATCATTTGTGAGCTTTTGGGCAGAAAAGTCTGTGCTGTGCACATCTGCGTGCATATCCATGATGAATTTGTCATTTGGTATATGCTCTATGACTGCTACACTTAAGTGTACTGGTGCATGTGTTTTGTATTCTATCATTTAATAAATATGTATGTGTCCGGTCCTGGGCTAGACACTGACAATATCAAAACCAAGCAATCCCTTGCTTTCCAGGGATCTAGCTGGGAGCCACAATAGAAGAAACTCTGTGTGTGTAAAAGTGACCTCACCCAGCCCTTCCCACTCCCCTGTGTTCATTCCTACTCATGCAGGCAGGTAAGGCCTGACAGCATGAAGCTGGTGTACTGCTAGCCCCCTTGCCCGCTATTGCAGAGATCCCAGAGCAGGCCTGGGGCAAGGTCAGGGAAGGGCCACCCCACCTGCCTGACTGTATCAGGGAAGGGCCACCCCACCTGCCTGTCTGGCCTTCCTTTCTTTACTCTCCCTCCCCAAGAGGCAGATGGAGCCTGGAGCCAGGGAGGCTGATCCCTTTACTGGGAATTCTCCCATCATCACCCATTCTCTCTAGAGCCCCCACCATGGACCTCTGTGGCCTGTCCTCTGCGTTGTCCTGCGTGTGGTCACCTTCCTCCTCCCAATGGGCCGGGGCCTGTGGGTGGGTGTCATGCTTCTGTCTGAGAAAATGTCCCTACTCTAGGGATTCAGTCACTGGAAACTTCTCTTTTGGGTCTGGGGGCCTTGCAGCTACCCCTGCAACCAGGGTTGAAAAGGCTTAGGAGAGGAGTGGGGAAAGCGTGTTCACTTCCTCCAAGCAGTTCTGTAGGGGTAGTTATTCAGACCCCAACCCAGAGGCTGCTGAGGCATCTGGAGCTTTGACGTTCTGGGTTTCCATGTGTATATGTGTCATCTGGGGTTGTCTCTCACCCTGATGGCCCCAGATCCTGGGGAGCCCTGGGAGGACAGACCTAGAAGTCTGTTTTGGGTGTTACCTGGAAGGAACATGGAAGCTGGAGGACCTTGCAGAAAAAGGGGAACAGCCCAAGCTTCTCTGGTCTTATGTTGAATCCAGTTGTAGGGCCTTCTCTGTGAGATGGCAGCTGGCTTCTTTATAGACTGGTCTGCCAGTCCCCATAATCCGTCAGAGCTGGCCTCTGTGCCCAGTGCCTTTGACCAGAGTCTCTGGAGAGGCTCCATGCAGGGTGTGATAAGTATCAGCTCCACCCCTACTATTCCCCTCTGTGGGGCAAAAGGGACTCTCCTTTGCTCAGAGGTCACCTCTTCACTATCCCTGTGCCCCTCTCCCAGTACCTCCTGCTTGGCATCAGGCTCCCTGCTGTGTATCAAGCCAGTTCAAAGCCAGGCAACAACCATCTTCCTCTTGGGCCAGATTCTTACTGAGGTTCCTATCCTATACCCAGCCCTCTGCTTACCAATTTCATTTTCTTTCTCACTTCCAGCAAGCCTTGGACATGGGCTTTCTCCTTTCCCCTATCCCCAGCATCCTTCTATCCACTCCCACCCTGTCCTCACGGGCCACTTTCACCCTACCTGAAATTGGCCACAGCCCTATCCAGGAAGCCATGGGTCCTATTCTGTGTTGGGGGGAGTTTGTTGGGTGGGGAGGGTCTCCTGGCCAGGGTCTTGGAGTTGGCAGGACTGAAGGTCAGTCTCTGGCTCAGGATGGCTTTGAACATACTAAGTTTGAGACCCCCAGTGGGGACACTCCTATTTTAGGTGGCCACCTCAGAAGCATCCCTGATATGTGTTCAGCATTTCACTGCTTCCAAAATGCTGTCACATCTGTGATCCTCAAAGATACCCCTGAAGTAGGTGTTACTATCATTTTCTGTTTACTAAATTGGGAAACTAAGACAGAGATTCAGACATGCCCAAGTCACCTGGTTAGCTAGAAAGGGGCAAAGACTCCCACGTGGGTCTTTTGACTCCAGGAAGCTGTTACCCCCACACCCAGGCATAAGCCTCAAGTTGGGCTGCAAGCCTGGGGCTGCAGCAGAGCTGGGCATCCAGGAAGGACAGGCTGGGGGCAGGTCTCTGGGACAGGTAGCCCTGTGTGGCTAGTATATTCTCCCAGCCCTGCCATTGCCTGGCTCACAGTCTGGGTGGTTGGGACAGCCAGAGAGCCCCAGGCCCCGGGTGCCCTCACCTGTACCCGGGCCTCCGTGAGGTCTGTGCGTAGAGCCAGCTGCTCCCGAGCATACACATCAGGGTAGTGGGTTTTCTGGAAAACTTTCTCCAGCTCTTCCAGCTGGAATGTGCTGAAGGTTGTGCGGTTACGGCGCTTCTTGCTCTTGTTCTTGGCCAACTCCATGGAGTCAGGGAGTCCCGGGGACAGAGGGACACGTAGGCTGGCGAGGCAGGGACCTGGGGAGCTTTGCAAGTTAGAGGACCCGTCTCTAGGGCCCCCTCGGCAATCCAAGGGTAGCTGAGGGAAGCTGGCAGCTTTGGAGGCCTTCTCCTCAGCTGCAATGGAAAACACAAAAGAGGAGGATGGAAACAGAAGCAGGGGTTTTTGTGGGTGGAATAGAGGGAGGGGGAAGAACACTGGCGCTTCAGTCCCCGCCTCTCCCTTCCTTTCTCTTCCCTTCCTCCCTTCTGGGCAGCCACCCTCCAAGGGAGCCTGGCATTAGGAGGCCTGCCTGCTGAGCCTCCAGCTGGGGAGGGGACCCTGGGGAACCATGTGCTCTGTGGTCTGGGTGGATCTGTGGGGCCAGAGGGGGTTCCTTTCAGGGAAGTGCTCTGTGGTGGTGCTTCCCACAGGGTGTGGAGGTGCCAGGACTGGCGCCGTGGCAGGGGCGAGAGGCGGGGGTGAGATGGGGTGGATGACATCTCTCCGTTTCTGCCAAGAAGTGCCTCCTTGTCCCTGGCTCTGCAGGCCTTGGTTCCCATGCCCCGGTGCCCATACCTCTGCAAACAGGACCAGGCAGGTAACAGACAGACATATTCGGACCACCTCTGGCTGGTCTGGCTATGCCTCATTCTCGGAACCCCAAGTCTTAGGGCAACATTAAATCCCCCAGCCCTGAGATACGAAGGGCAGGATGGGGCAAAGAAGTTTCAAGGGGGATTGTCTCATTCCTTCAAAATTGTGATGTTTGGGCAAAGACTTACACTCCAGTATTAGAGAGGCAGGAGACAGGCTGTGATCAGAGAAAGAGAGTTGGGCACCAGCGTTGAAACGGGGCACAACCCCCAGCCCCATCATTCTCCTTGTCTGCCCTCTCCAGCAGCTTCTGACAGTTCCCCCACTGCCTGTGATTAATAAGCAGGGGAGACCTGATTGCTGTCTGGGAACAGTTGCCAGCAGTCCCACTGCAACATGCTAACCCTCACTCGGGAAGCTTGGTGGAGCCCTGCCACAACTGGGACGTGGTGAAAAATAGGTCATCCTGATCACCCTGCCTCTGGCGAGGAACCCCAGCATCACCATGAAATCTCAGCAGCCCTCTGGGATGCCACAAAGAAGCCCCACTGACTCACACAGCCCCTTCTTGGCTCTGGGCCCATCCCCTGCAGGGGCCTGGCCACAGGAGGCCCAGCAAGCTGGCACCAAGAGGCAGTTTCTTTTCTGCCAGAACTTGGTGCAGGATCAAAGCTGTAATTGGGGAAGATGGGACCAGAGAGATGGGTTTCTGGGCTTTTGCATCTGTGACGCTGTCTGCATGGTGGAAAAGTTGGGCAAGGTCTGCCTCAACTGGAATGTGGTCAGTGACCTCTCAGGACTGCCCAGACTGTGAAATAAGCCCCACGTCCTGAGCATGTCCTAGAGTCCAGGAGAGCCCCACAGGGCCTGCAGGCAGGGCTAGCCCAAGCACTGTTTCCTTCACCCAGGTGGAGGCAGCATAGGGGGGAAATGCACCAGCCCTGACTTCTGCTCCTGGCCATCATATTTTCATTCTAGGGGTAGGTCCATCTGGTAGGAGCTTAGGTAGGAAAATTCATGGAAATCGAAGCAGATAATTTAAAAATGGCCACAGAGACTAGGAGACTGAAAGGGGAGACCCCACACATATAGTGGGCCTGAGAGGAGGGGTCTTAGTGTCTTGGATTCAGAGGGAGGTCTTGCTGGACTGTAGACAGAAAAGGGTGAGGGTGGCTCAGGGATGGGGCCAGGGGAGCATGGACTGCAGAGGGCTCCAAAGCTCTGAAGCTTGCTCATCTGGACCTTGGGCCCTTAAGTCTGTCCCAGTAGGATCTGCCCAGAGGAAGTAACCAGATCTGGCGCTCTGAAACTTGCCTTCCTGACCAGAAGCCACCCAGCTACCAGGGTAAAGGATGAAAGTGCAGCAGGATTTCTTAGGATAGCTACCTGAAAAAGGGCCTCGCATGCCTGTCCATTCTACTGCCCTCCCAGGGGGCCAGAGAGCTTCTCCCCATTGAATTGCCATTGCCCCAAGAGCTCCTCCATCTGCTTGGAGGACTACTGCGGGGGCAGGGGGGCATTCCATTCCCCTTCTTTGGGCCACAAGAGCATGCCTTGTAGAACACCAAGGGGCCTCCTGAGGAGCAAGGCACAGAAAAGAGAAGAATAGAGTGGGATAAACAGAGGACCGTCAAGGGAAGGCAGAGTGGTTACAGAAGCCACCAGTTGGAAGCTAAGCTTGTGTGGGCTGTGTATAGGAGTCACTTGGGTCTGGTGGGGACACTGCATGGTTAAGGAGGAGTGCTCCTGTAGGAATCTGGGAGCCTGGGGCTCAGCACTGGGGTGCCCAAGGCCTATACACACACAGCACTGCGCCCGCAGTGGGTAGGGCCTGAGAGAAAGGAGCCAGGTCTCTGAGGCTATGGAACTCTGACCCTGACTCAGCCCTCAAGCGGTCTACACTCTCCCATCTCTGTGGCTGTGGAGCCCCTACTATCACAAATGGTTACTAGAAGCCAGGGCAGCCCAGAAAGGTGCCACTCAGGCTGCCTTCTGGGAACCCCACTGCCCCTCCACGTATAACTGTTGGATCAACCAAAGGATGGCTTTCAGCTTTCAAGGCATATTCTGGGCCCGCACTGTTTCCAAGAGATCGCAGAGCGCTCTTAGGCCTGGGCTCCCGCAGCTCTGGTTGGAGACCAGAAGCCAGTACCGGCAGAAACGCCGAGCACAGGACCCCAGCGAGGCCTCGGTGTTCTCCCTGGAGTTTCCCAGCCTGGGCCTTAGAGACCTCAGTCGGGGCCGACTTGGAACTCTCGTCAAGGTCAGGACTTTAAGGTTATCCGGCTCAGGGTCTCCACGGCAGCGGGTGCGTTCCGGTCAGAAAACCAAGCTAGGGGACAGACTGGGCGGCTGCTGGCAGAGCACTAAGAAACAGTTGGGCACTTCTTCGGCCCTCCGAGCAGCCACGCGCAGAGGGCTCACGGGTGCCTGGCACCGCCAGGACGCGGCCGGGGTCGGCCCGAGTCTGGGCGCCCGCCGCAAAGGGCCGGAGAGCCGCGCGATGCGCCAGGTTCTCGAGCGCGCAACTGCCCAGCCTCCGCAAAGATCGCGCGCAGATGGGGCGCAGCTGCGCGCTCACTGGTCTGAACTGGAAACGCTGCGAGATTCCTCCTTTGCCCACCACTTCCCACCACGTAGACTGCGCGACCCGCGGCCCGTACTTCCCTAGCAGCCCAGCTCCACCGCGCGCCGCGCTGGCCGGCTCCACCGCTGGGGCCCTGGTCACCCGTGCGCCGAGTTCCACCCAGGCACCGATAGGCGAACGGTGGCCGGGCTCTCTACCCAGGCTCCACTCGCGCCCGCTGCACCTGGTTTTCGTTTGGCCTGTCCTCCGCTCAACTCGAATCGTTAATTTTCTTCTCTCACTTGTTCTCATTTTGCTATTTGCTGCTCCTTTAGGATGTATCTTCTTTTCTTTCGTTTTGTCTGCCTCTACTCTCTTCGTACTTTCCCTTCTTCTCCATTTATCCGCTTCGTTCGATGCTCCACTTGCATTTTGTTTTCGTTCGCAATTCGTTTATTTCCTTTCGGTTCTGCCCAGCTTGCCGACTGCCATTTACCTCTGGCTCTCGACTTTCCTCCGTGGTTTGTTCAATTTCCCTTTCCCTCTTTTTGGTTGTTTACTCTCTGGTTTTATTCACATGCATTTCGTTGTTGGCAGTCTCGCCGTCGCTGGGTATCTCCCCGCCGCTCGTTCTGCTCCAGCGCTCTCCTCAGTGTGCTGGGCGCCGGGGCCGGTGCTGGCGCCCGGGCGGTCCGTGAGGGATCCAGCGAGCCCAGCAGGGACGCGGGCCCGCGGGGTGGGTCCTGCCCAAGACAGCGCGCCAAGCCAGGCCGGGTACCTGTCGACGTGCTTACGGCGCTGAACGGCGGCCGCCGTCTGGCTGGGATCAGAGGAGCCAGGCCAACTGCTTCTCATTAAGTCCCAACTGTGGTTTTTATCAGGAGAGCCTCTTTCAAAGGGCACAGACACGAAGCTCCGCGGACTCGCTCATTTCCTCCGCTGACCCCCACACACCTCCCAGCCCTCCTCTACACATTCCCACCGCCCCGGCTGGTGGAAGGCCTGAGCTGTTTGGCCACTCTCGGAGGCCCGCGAGGCGCCAGCGGGGCACAGGCGGGGAAGAGCCCATCTCCGATGGTCCAGATCTGGGCCTAAGCTTCTGAACGCGGCGGCGCAGGTCAACCAGTGCAGTGGGTAGTGGCGGGGCTGCGAACCCGCCTGCCAGGGGCGCGGCGTTCAGGCGCGGTTTCGGGAGATGGCGTGGTCCAACTGGCCTCAGCGCTAAGGGCACCGGCCCAGGAGCCCGGGACCTCTAAAAGTTAGGCCGCCCATGTTGCTCCCGACGGCCAGCGGTGACGATCCAGTGCGAGAAAGGCAAGACTGCGAGAAAGGCGGCCATCACCGTGCATAACGACCGGAGAGGCCAGGTTAGTCTGAGAAATAAGAACACACTTATTCCATATTGAGAATGGCTCTGCCATTGCGGGACCAGCCGCGGCCACTCCGCCGAGCGCCTAACGCTCTGGCAGCCTTTTTCCCTCAAAAGTTGGGCCTGGGGAGTAGAGGCCCGCGGAGGCCAGGCCGCCGCCCTCGGCTGAGCCCGGCGGGGCCACTCTTGGTCGGCTCCCAGCCTCCGGGCCCTCAACGGACGCCAAACACAAAATCCGCGCTTCTTTTCCCCGCTTCTGGGCCAAAAGCCCAGTGTGGAGCCCGGGTCCTGGGCCCGGTCCGGGCTTCTGGGTCGGTGGCAGTTGCAGCCCAACTCCGGCCAAGCGAGGTCTCTCTTGCCCTGCCTCGGCCGCCCTCGGGCCCGACGCTGTCGCCGCTCCACTCTTTTTCGACCTCCCGCCTCCCGTTCCCGCCGCTGGAGGCACGGGTGACCCTGCGTTGCCTTTTGCCCGACCTGGACCAGCGCTGGTCCAGCTTCTGAGGGAGCCGTGGCGAGGGGCAAGAGGGTCAAAAAGTTGAGAAATAGGCGAGCGGGAGCGGGAGCGGGACGCAGGGAGGCCCGTGCGGGCCCAGGGAGGGAAGGAGAGCGGGTCGGGGCTGCGCGCTACGCCCCGCGCCGCGCATTACCTTCCGCGGGGCCCTCGTAGAAGTGGCTGCCGTTGAGCCCCGAGCCGGGCCCGAGGTCCTGTAGATACTTGGCGGGCGGCTTGGCCGGCTCTGGGAGGTAGGGCTCCAGGGGCCCGCAGGCCGGAAAGCGGGTCAGCCGCGGTCCGCGGGGCGGCACAGGGTGCAGGTGAGGCGCGCCAGCGGGGGTCGCCTGGGGGCCCGGAGGCTCGTCCCCCGTGGCCGCGTAGGGGCCGGGGCCGGGCCCCACACCGAAAGGCGCGCAGCGCTCGGGGTCCATGCCGGCTCGGGGCGCACAGGCCGCCGGGGCTCCGGGGCTCGCGCTGCCCTCGCGGCCTGTAAGCGCCCGCCAAGGGGGAGGGACCTGGGCGCGGGGGCGCGGAGCCCCCGGGAGCGGCGCGCGCCGCAGGGGGCGGGGGACAGGGGAGGGGGCCTCTCCTCTGACTTAATGCTGGAACCATCCACGTCACGTGCGGCCCCGCGCAGGTTAACCCCTCGGAGCCCGGGAGCCCCCTGATTCACCCCAGCTCTTGTAGTATCGGGGAACTTTGGGATTGAGGGAAGAAGCCACCTCCTCTCCAGGGCGGGGTTCCTTTTATCTGCCCATCTTGGTGGGTCCCTTGCTCATAGCAGCACCCTTGATCCTGATATCCAGCCTAGAGGCTCTTGCCCCTAGAGCGGTAAGGTGGTTGGGGGGCGGGTTATGGCGTGGTAGAGCCCTTCTCACCCCCAACAAACGCTTTTAGGCCTGGTCTCCTGACATTAGCTTGGGATAAGGGCTAGGGGCAGGTAGGAGCTGGGCTGGGATTTTACCTAACTTTGCCGGGAGCTGGAGGAATGTTGCTTCCAGGTGAAACACCTCCCATAGAGATCTCTTGTCATTGGAGTCATTGGGAGTGTTGTGTGGACACAACCTAATCTGGGAATTGGAGCTGGGGATCTGCGGCCTGGGCACTATCACTAATTAGCTGTGGGACCTTGAACCAGCCACTGGTGTCCTCATCTGACTGTGGAGCTTGGACAGAGGCAATCCTCAGAGTCTTCCTATATGTTCCTGGTGGTTTCAGAAGCAGAGGCAAGGCCAGAGCAGATGGGCATGGCAAACCTTCACAGAGGCGGCTTAGCACTAAACAGAGTCCAGCAGCAGCCGCATTTGGAGCAGGTGGAGGAAAAGAGGAGGATTTGGGACTTGAAGAGCAGGCATGGAGGGAATGCCTTTCAGTGGGCAAATAATCTGGAAGCACCTGGGGACCCATTGGAGAGAGGCTGTCTGCAGCTCAGACTTTAGGGCTCTGCTGCCCCAGGCCTGCCATTTCTCAGGAAGGCAAGGATGACCGCATCTCCTAAGAGTTGGGTCCCTTCAGCCAAAAGGAAGTATAGAACTAGTATAGGACCTTGGTATTTCTGAGAAGAGAAACAACCCCTATCCTACCTAAGATCTGTCTGGGAAGGGATATCCGAGGGCCCTAGGACCCTGCTTACTTCTGTGGATAGAGGAGTCTGAAGTCTGGGTTACACCATTTTTTATTTTCAATGTCTCTAGAGACTAGTGAGAGGAGTGGGGAGTCAAACATCATTTGTATTTCATTTGAATTCTCAATTTTAAAGGAATCCAAGAGGCCTGGTGTGAACACCTCCTTCTTCCGCTGGGGGCTTACAGGGGTTTTCTTGGCTGTCCTCAGCCAGAGTTGGGCTGTAAATCAAGGCCAAACAGAAACCAGAAGCCTTGCATCTCACAAGTAGTCATTAAGCCATTATTAAACATACCCCGAGTTCTCTGAAGCCTTATTGGTTTAAACACCACATTGGAGGCATTATGGCCATTAGGGCCCCTAATCACAGACTGCAGGCTGGGACCTTGCAGAGATGGGAACACTTGGGGCTGTATTTCCAGCCAAGAGGGAGGAGGCTCAGCTGAGAATTAAGTTTCCTTTTTGGCCTTAGCAGGGAGATCCATTCTCCAGTATCCCAGCTCTGGGCAATCAACTTGCATTGATCACTTTGGATCATTAGTAAGGTGTTTCAGTAGTTATTGGGGTAGGGCCGTGGATATTGTTGACTTTTTTGGAGCATGTTAGTGACAATTCAGGACACCTTTTCAACAAAGTTATTAAGCGGCTTACTGTGGAAGAGGCAAGTGACACAGGAAAAACATTAAACCAACAGTTTATAAACTAGGTAGCTTGGCTTAAATGCCAAAGGTTTTGCCTCAGGTGATAACTTTCTGAGCCTCAGTTTCCTCATTATAAAAATGGGCCATGCACATGGATATTTGAGAAAAACTTTTGTTTTGATGAATGTGATGAACTGTATTAATTTAAGAGATTATTATTATCATTATGATATCCAGAAATGCCCATTTTTCAAATAGTGGGAGACTTCTGTCCCCAGACTGAATGGGCCAGAGGCTGGGGCTGAGCAGAGACCTAGGGACCCACACCCTTTCCCAATTCCAGAATTCCTCCTGTCATTCTCCCACTGTCAACCCTCCTGTCATTCTCCCACTGTCAACAAAGCCAATTTCCATGCTGGGATAGTATTGCCAATTAAACTGAGGTGGCAGAAAGCCCCAGATGACATTCAGTTTAGATGGGTAGATGGAGTTGCCCTTCTGAGAAGGTTTTCTCCCAAGACCATACAAGGCAGGGTATGTAGAGGAGAATTTCCTGCTCCCCCTTTAAGCCACTATTACAAACACTTACCTTTATATATACATGATCTGGGAAGAATTTGATGGGGCAGGTGCATAGAAAACACAAAAAACTGCAACCTCAGAGTTACTCACTTTTCCTTCTTAGGAGGGCTGAGAAATCCTGGACCACAGGGGTCCTCATTTTGCACATAAAAACAATAGGGAGTACTCACATAGTATTTATAGTGTGCCAGGCACTACCTAATATAATCTATATACACTGGTTGATTTAATCCTCACAATGACCGTGTGAGGTAGGCATAATTATTATCCCCATTTTACAGAAAAAGAGACTGAGGCCATAGAAGAGAACCATTTGTCCAGGGTGGACAGAGCCACTTAGTGGCAGAACCAGAATTTAAGCTCAGATCCATGGTCTGCCACCTGACTGAATCTCAGTCCTTCTTCAGCTAACATAATAAAGGTGGAATCATTCATTGCACACCCTCATTCTACCAGAGGAAGGTTCAAACTTTTTCCTGACTGGAAAGTTGAAGCCAGAGTGGATCACAGACAAAGTCGATCCCAGATAGAGCTGCACTGCTGTCTTCCTGGTCACCAAGTGGCAATTTATTGAGCTTGCTGTGCCCAGTTGTGGTGGCCAGACAGTAGATGGAAGGTGGTTTCTGCTAAGCTGAGAGCAAATGAAACAGTGTCTATCACCTGAGAGGTTTTACAACCCACTGACACAGCCAGGTGTGGTGCAAAATTTGGAGAGAATTTGTGAGTCCCCATTCATGCTGTTTAATATCCAGTTGAAATTATGAAAGCATTTGTCACTGATACATTGTCCATAGACTGAAAGAGATGAGCTGACAGGCTGATCCAGATAATACCAGGTCCTATCATGAATAACTTAAAAAAGAAACCCTCTCTGTCTGCTGAGAAAAAGTTTTAAAATGGAAACGATGCTTACTGCCCGTTCCTGTGCAACGGTTTCACACTGGCTAATTGTTTAATTCATTCAATAGGAGGACCTCTTAGGTGACAGCATGTGCTGGCACTGGGATATAACAGTGAGAAAGACAGATGGAGTGTACATGCCTTCATCAAGCATACTCTTTGCTGGAGTGTAAATGTATCCTCCACAATGAAAAAAATAATCATTTGGATGTTAATTACAATGGAGTCTGGTCTCGAGAGCAGAGTTCTGGCTTCTAGACTCAACCATAAGGTCAGTTCTGAATTAGGGAAACATCAGTCCCAACTACCATTTTCCTTTAATTTTTGACTGCCGTTAGCCTATATGAAGGCGAATGCTATCCTTTTTCTCCCACTGAATATTCAAAAAGGGGTTGGAACGATGGGAAAATATGACCTCAGATCTGACATTTGTTTGACATATACAAAACTTCCTTCTAGACAGGAAAATCTCAGTTTTTTTTTTTCTTTGAAGGGAAGACAGTCAGTATTACCCTTGTCCTGTTTAGACTCTGAAATCCTAAATTGATCCCTATGAAAATTCTGGGTTTGGGAGCCCAAGTAGATTGTTTCTCATTAGTGACATTCTTCCTGGAAGGTCAGGCTAAGGAATGGTAAATAAACCTTCAGATCCGGTGCTTCCTCCTCACCCATGATATTTAAAAGGAAGAAAGCAGGGGGAGGGAAAAAAAGGCTTTGTGCTCTGGATACCCAGAATCCTTAGCTGGGATTCTGACAATCCAAGCTGAAGTTGTGCTTTGGGGTGAAGCTTCTGGGAAATTGGGTGCTATTTTTTCTCTTCCACTGATTTGATCTTTCATTGGGAAGGCCACTTAACCTACCTGTACCTCATTTTCTCCCTTGGAAGATTGAGGGGAATGATTCTGTAATTCAACTTTATTGGAATGAATAAGGCAGTGTTTATACAGATGTTTCTTGAGCCTGACTCCACCCTGAACCTATATTTCTCTGCTCATTCTCTCTGCCCACTTCCCTGGGGTTAGGTTGGAAGGGGGGTAGAGGCCAGGGAGGTGGAGCTTCGTCAGGGATGCAGCAGTGTCCTGAGGGCCTGGTTTGCCCTGATGTTTGCCTTACTATGGCAAGTGCTGGCACAGACCAGGAGAAGTCATTTTGTGGGGGAGTTTTTGATGAACTCATTCTTGTTGCGAAACAGAAAGGGGCAGGTTTAGACTCCCTAGCATTTGATCAATTAACCTTATGCATTCATTTTTTCATCAGACTTTTGTTGAATGGTTGCCAGGTGCCACACAGTGAGGCTGCACAGTGAGGACAGCATCAGAGACACTGTGCACTTACTCTCAGGGCTTTTACAGACTGGCAGCAGAGACCCAGAGCAACAGACATTCATATCACAGGGTGTGGGGTGTGTTGTGTATGCAGAGGACAGGAGAACAGCTCAGAGGTGAGAAAGAGGAAGCCAAGGTTGGGAAATTGGATCTGCTGGATATCGCTGGGGTCTGGGCAGGAAGAGAGTTGGGGTTGGGGTGGGAGGAAGAAAGACAAAGGTGGAGGAGTCGACAGGAATAAGGGAAACTCCAGGTGGAGGGCAGGATGGCTCCACAGGCACTGGTCCCAGCGTCTGCCAAGCCCAGCTTTAACCACTGGATTCTCCAGTCGGAGGTATGGAGGAGGAAGTCCCAGGCCCTATATGTCCCCCTACTCTAAGGGGACATCAAGGGTTGACACCCAGCAGGCAGATATT